CAGTTTATGTAGATTTTGTTTCAGAACATTAATTGCAATCCCCATAATGTAACATCATTCACCTCACTTCTTCCCTTTGTTTCTGTTTTCCGTATGTCCTTTTACCTACTTTTTTTCCTGACCACTAGTTCTTATCCCTGAGTAGATGCTTCCCTTATATTGTGTTTGATTGTTCTAAGGAGTGTCTTCCTTTTTACTCTTGTTATCATTCTGCCTATTGTTTCTATGGAAATTAAATTGAAGGGTATCTAATGGTCACCTGCTTTGAGGCACCACTATCTGTCAGACATGTAAGCCTGACTTTTTTTATGATTGAGGATTTTATTTTACATTTTCTCATAGTCTATCAAGAACCTTTTCTTTGGTCCCTTTCAGAGCAATCAGCAACAGGACTGGGTCCCATCTCAGGGTTTTAGAAACTGGAGGCTAGTTCTTTTGATGAATACTATCATTTTCTTCACTCTTTGCTCTGGACACAAGGAGACCAAGAGTTATACCTTCTATGGCTACTCAGCAGCTTTTAAGACCTCACTTGAAAAATCTGGAACTTTAGATTCCAGCCAAAGATGGAATTTGCTAATTCCTCATTTTGACCTTGGGCAAATAATTTAACCTCTCTCTCTTTGCACATTTTAAAAATGTAAATTAACTTTTGAGATATATTATGAAAATGTATATTATAAGAGACCAAACATGTACATGGCTTAGTAAAGGCAACAACTGTTAAAGTTTTTGTTATAATAAAATAAAAGCAGGTTTCCATTTTAGTAGGCCTTCAAATAATTGCATTGAGCCACTGCTCATGAACAAATACTTTTCTCTTGCTAGCAACAAAGCATAATTTATGTTTTATGTTGACAAGCTTTTGAATCTTTTTCACTTTTCTTGAACCTGTATTTTGCACAGGATAAAAATCTTTTAATCATGAATACAATGTTCAGAAGTTAAATTAGTATATCAGCTAAGACTAGAATTCTTAAATTTCTAATGTATGAGAGACAACAGAGGGTAGTAGAGAAAATGGATTTAGTTTCAGGAAAATCTGAATTTCAATATAAGTGATATCTGTCAGTTCCTGATTCATGATTTTGAGCAAGTTGTTTCATTTCTCAGTCTCAGTCTCTTTGTCAGTAACGTAAGAGTAGTCACCCTGCTCCTCAGATTTGTTTGGATTTTGTTAATCATAACATTTCTTTTTTCTTCTTACTACTGTACCAACCTAATGGTAATAAAACATGAGAGCAAGTTAGAGAAGAAATATATCTTGGAAAGACAAGTTAGAGGATTAAAAAAAAATTATAGATATACAAACACACTTTTTGTGGCAAATGTATCATATTTAAAAATAAAGAGCCTTTTTACCTAAAATGAAAGTTAAGTGTTGAGGTCATACTTAGCAGACATGGAAGACTTCTGCCTTTCCTGTTATAAGAGTTAGAAGCTGGTAATATGCTTAAAATACAAATTTTTCATATTCTATGATTTTATATGTAATTGATAATAATAAAAAATACATATTTTTAATACTGCAGAAATATTTCTTTTTGGCCAAACAATATAATGGCATATATGATAGTATTTGTTGAAGAGGAATAGATCTGCAGAAGTATTGCAGGATTCAGAATTACATAAGTAGAAGAAAATTAATAGCTTTGCATCAATGCTGGCTGTATTAATCTATGATTCTACTTTTTCTTCTCCCAGAGTATCTGATTTTATTTTTCCTGGAACTATTTAGTCAGTCAAGAATATGATTCAAATCAAAGGCCTTCGTTGTCTCAGATTACTTGAATTAATTGAAAACTGCTGAAGATATCAACATATTATTAGAGTCAATGAGATACATGCATTACATAGGTCATAGAAACTCTATCTTCCCAGTATGCTGCAACAGTCACCCTCCCATAAGATTGGGTTAGTTCTGGGCCACATGTTAACGTTGATATCAGCAATCTTCATGTATACAGAAGAAGGGGCAAGATGGGAGCAAAGCTATAAAAGTCATTTCCCCCCCCCTTTTTTTCTATTATTCATGTACATTATGGTTCACACATTCTTAAATTCACATTGTGTTTCAGAAGACCACTCTCACACAGTGTGTTTTATAAAATTAATCACCACTGATCTGTGTCTACTATCACACTGTCTCTTCAGGTCCTCAATGGCTCTTCCCTCATTCTTTCACTCACCACCCCTCTCTGCTCATTCTGCTCTGATATTCTAGTGATTTCCTATTGTCCTCACCTTCTGGCTCCTAGCCAACTCCCCTTCTTCTTTTGGACTTTTATCCATATCTTACTAGTCTTATGAATGAAGTCAAAAGGAACATACAGTTTGAAAAATTAATTTTAGGAGAAATATTAAAATGTATTACTAGCTTTTAAACATCTAAGTAAAATGGTTTATGAGACATAAAAACATATAATACCTGTAGATTATGCTGATACTTCTCTGTATACCAGTAAAAATCAGTTGATGGCAATTTGATTCCAACTTATGTGTATATATGTGTGTGTGTGTGTATGTGTATATATACATATATATACACATGTATATATCAATATATATATATACATATATATACACATGTTGTTGTTGTTAT